TGCCATGTTTTCAGGAGATTAGAAAAGGATGTTTAGTTTGTTCCTACCAAAACCAATGAAAAAGATATAGATATTTTTAAAACGGTAACCGTTTAAAACATGTTTTCAAAACCATAGTAGAACTCTCCAATCGAACATCATTATGTAGTTCTACAGAACTGAATCCATAAGGGCTTACACTAAGTACACAACAAAGGGAGCTATCCTAAGGGAATATATTGGGGCTCGAGAGCCTACCCAAGAAGGTTACTCGGGGCCACAGGGCCTACGCAAGAAAGATCTCAGGGTCTCGGAGCCTACCCAAGGGTCACCTTAGGTCCGTAAGGATTTACCCATATAAAATCCAGTAGAAATCAGTTTTAACAATAAACTGTAATATCTAGATCGTGATCCAATAAAATCTCGTAAAAGTGACAATGAAATAAACCATATAGTTATCCTCTACCTGTACACCATATGTAGTCCCATTATTAACCCAATTGAGTTTCTTGGGGCCTGAGAACCTACCCAAGAAAGTTTCTCGGGGCCTCAGAGCCTACCCAAGGGTCACCTTAGGTCCGTAAGGATTTACCAGCTTGATCAAAGCTAAACCTTCAACCTACCCATATAATGTCCCAATAAAATAGTTCAAGTAGTAAGCAGTGAAAACAGAAAACCGTAGTTCATAAACCAGTAAATTCCATGATTCTATAAATCAAGAACATATACCACGTAGTCATGGTTCATAAGTCAGTAAATAAATAATTTCGGTGAAACCTTTTTTAAAACATATAAGACAGTCATGTAATACATGGGAACACACTAGAGGATCCAAGTATTTTTTTAGAGGCACTTGGTAGTTATCAATAATGGAAAACATGAAACTATGCAATTTGATCGAATTCCAGGAATGATGTCCTATTGAAAGGGATATGTTACTAACAGATCTATCAAACCATTAAAATTGATACCTTATGACCCCCTTTTTAATCAGGTACATTCATGAAGGTGTTCAGGAACCTTTATATCAGAATATTTATAAATTAAGATTTATTGAGAATGATTCCATTACTCAAACAATCAGGGATATTCAGGATTATGTATTGAACTATCAAGATTTTGAGTCCAATTGAACCAATGATCCAAACTCTGCAATACTTGTCAATTATTTGGATTGTGATACTTCATTATTATTATTATTCATTTATTAATACTGACCGCACCAAATGATCTGATCAATATCAGAATCATCCTTGATCATTTCTTGATAAGACAAATAAGTATTCTAGTGGTATTCATTTCTTTTCTATATTGCAACGATATCAATAAATGTCGACATTCTTGATTCATGGTTTAAAACCCTTGAGGGCAGTACAACATCTAAGTTCATCAGCGTTTCCAGACTTGTCTGAGTCATTCACTTAATTCTAGGTCTTTGAAAGTACTTAGGTCATTTAGTAGTTAAGTATATCCCGATCACTTCAAAGTTTCCACAGTAATTCAATCATTTCTAAAATTCGGATACATACAATTCTTTCATTCAATTCAACTAGGTCATATAATTTAGTCATTCCAAGGCTTAGAGATATTTTGGATTCTTTTACTCTTCAGGGGTATTTTAGTCATTTTACAGTTTAAGGGTATTTCAGTCATTTCCTTCAGTCAGGTCTTTCCATTTAATAAAATTTGTCTGAACAATACAAACATAATAATACTTCCGATGTTTTAGCCTTTAGGTATTTGTTGATAAATCGATAATTCTAGGTATTGTACCTTCTCAGATGTAAGATCTGATTATCAGTGACTTTCCTAACATATCAGGAATTTAACATGTGTATCAGCAGTTTATCGAATTAAATATGAATTCTCAGGGTACTTTCACTGTGAGGGTCAGTCCGGACCATTTTACCTCATAGGGTAATTTTGTAATTTCTTAACCATATGATTTCGGTATTAAAGTTTTTAACAAGAAAAAAAGAATTTAGAGATTATGAGGTTATTTTATTTTCCAGATAATCACCAAACTTGAAATCATTTCTTATCAGTCTTCTTGTGTTTATTCATATAGTCCGAGCCTTATTCAGTTTAATTTACTTTATTTCACATTCAGATCGAGTTTAGAAAATGATCAACTACATACATGTGACCAATTATATTCATCCATGTAGTAATCAATATTAATATGTTCCATAAAGCGTGAAAAATGTAGTAATGTATTAATTCGATTTTTGATCCATAATGGTTAACCAATTAAACTCCATTTGATCGATGTAACATCCTCAATACCGGGTTAGTGACTAAATTGTAAAGTCTCATAATTTGGTGATTTAAAATAGAATGATTGAATAGTATAAAGATTTATTTTTAAAGTATTGTATGGAATTGAATTGAAAGGAAGAAGGAATAGAAGGGCAAAGAGGTCATTTACATGGAAATAAGAAAAGAAGGGTTATATATGTATCCACGTGGGTTGAAGAGGGGAGAACACAAAGGCTTCTAGAGTTCTTTTCTTCTTCTTTCTTCCTTGTACATGTAAAGCAAAACATAGGTGAATTTTATGATTATTAAGTTTCATGTTAAATTTAAGATTGGTTTTTGATTATTAGATGATAACTAAGCTTAAGGAAAGCTTAGGTTATATTAAAATCAAAGGATGATGGAGTTAGAAGAGATTAAAGATTAGAGGTTCTTGAAAGAAATCTTGGAATAGAGTTCATATCTAGAATTGGAAGTTAAATTTGACTTGTCATCAATCTAGTTAAGACATATTAACGGTTAGAAGTGGAATTAAATCATGTTGCAAAGTTGGTATAATTCTTGGATTTCACAAGGAGGATAGGATTCTGAGGTTTAAGATGAAATAAATGAGTATAGATTGGTTTAAGTATGTGTACTGGAATTAAGAATATAAAAGGGGATGAAACATGAAAGATTTAAGCTGAAATGGATAAGTTTTCGGGTTCAAGAAATGAATTCTGGGCAGAGTGCATCAGTGCACATTCAAAGTGTACCGATGCATCAAGAGAAAATCCCATAATTTGATGAAGGTGCATCGATGCACATGGAGTGTATCGATGTACTCATTTAAAATAAATAAACATCGAATGACATTAGTGCATCGATGCATAAGGAGTGGATCGATGCACCTGCTTAAAATACAAACATCGAATAGGATTTATGCATCGATGCATGGGTAGTGCATCGATGCACCCGTCAAGGGATGCATCGATACATGGTGTAGTGCATCGATGCATACCTTCAGTAAGAGATGGAAATAACTTTCTTTTAGTCTAAGGATTAATAGTTTGGAATATATCAATTCGTATGCTGATAAGTATCAATATATTACTATGTAGATTTAGAGCGTAATCTTATTCCAGAATAATCGAAGGATTAGAATCGAATCAAAGCAAGGCTAAGGTGAGTGCATTTTATAGTTAAAGTGTATAGAGACAAGACTTGTGATAAGCCTATCTCTTATGGTTGAATTAATGATTTCATACCCATGTATATGCATACATATACTATTGTAATAGTGATTGCATGCATAATTCATTATATGTTCACATGACATTGAATGAACGAATATTATTGCCAGAGAATATAATCCAAGTATGTGAAATAATGGAAAAGATTATGGGTTTATATGAAAAATGATGAAAGAGATATGAAATGAGAAATGTATTCATATTAAAGCACATGTTATATGATACGAGAGCTATAGGTATAGTTGGCATGCCAAGAGTCGAGGGTATATTAGTCCTTCGGGACGTATCCAGTGTTCCTTCGGGACGTATCTAGTGGTTCTTCGGGACGTATCTAGTGGTCCTTCAGGACGTATCCAGTGATCCTTCGGGACATAGTGGTCATTCGGGACAAATACTGAACAAATGTTTAGTTCCCCATGAGGAAATTTATTGAGTTGTGGTGTCAGTATTAGTGCACAACCTCAATGTACTCAAATACCTATGTTCTCAATAATGTACATGGGCAATTGAAAGATAAATTAAGGTGAAAGTGATACAAGAAGATAAGTTTCATATGTACATGATATGATTATATCGGTTATAGTGAAATATACATGCATATTGAAATGTCATGATCAAATGGTAAGAATGCATATTCATGAATCTATAGCTACATGTTTATTTATTGCCTCACTATGTCTATGACTTAGCGTGTAAGTGATTTACACGTAGGTACCAGGAAACAAGAAGAGCAGTACTAGAAGTGGCAAGAATAGCATCACTACTAAAGATCAGATCAAAGTAGTTGGCAAAGTAGGTATTTTGGGTTGTGTATAGAGTATTGGCATGTAATAAGTTATTAATTACGAATGCTCTGGTCGATTTTGTATTTCGTGATCTCTTTTATGTAAATTAACGTATTTTGTTTTAATGAAAGTTTAAAATTTCCCTGTTTTTCTTTAAGTGGCAAAGTTTGAAAAGTCAATGTGACACCTCGGACTCATATTCGGGTCAGATACGGGTTAGGGGTGTTACAATCGCTCTCGAACTTTAACTCCATGGCCCATAATGTCTCGGATACATGTCAGAACTAATTACATTAGAAATAGAAATTAAACGAGAAAATCCGTATCAAATCGGAAGATAAAATGCCAAAAAAATAACTTATCGGGATTGAATTTGGCGAAAAGGTCTTAAAAAGGGACTCAAGATGTCAACAAAACCCAAAATATGACTCTTGAATTTAATCTCACCAACTTGATTTCTAGCTTCCAATCTTTTTCTCACGAACACAGACCATCCACCGTACAAATAGAACTTCAAATAATTTTCCTCACCATAAAAATAACTTATTAGAATCTAATTAATAATTTGGGGACCCAATTGTTAAAATTAAAAACTTTAGGAGTCAATAAAATTTTAATTACTAAAATTAGGGACTAAATCAATTTGATTTAAACTATCATGGCTTGGGTGAAATTTTATTAAAACTAGATGACAAAGTCAAAATTATACAAAAATGAAGGACTGAAGCTGCAATTTACCCTTCATTCATTATCCACCTTTCTCAAAACTCACATGATCCTTACCATTATTATATTTCACGTAACATTTTTTCTCCTTAAGCACTCTTCGTCCAGTGTTCTGTAAATGGGACAAAAATGACCAACCGAAAATCAAAATGCTGGTGACCACCACGCCGCTCAACGCCATCGATCGCCATTCGTGACCCAAAGTACACCATTAAACTTGCCTTACCTTCCTCGTCATGGATCTTGCCTCCTTTGACCGAGACTCACGATGGACGATTGTAGATCTATAAGAAAAATATCGAATTCCATGAGCTTCAACCTCTCTGTTCTTTACCTTCACCGTTGGATGGTGCTGCTTCCGAGGTATGATGGTCATCTAGTTGTTAAGAACAATTTCACCCGCTGGGATTTCCTGATAGTGGCCCAGATCGTCGGTACCAAAACCCAAAAGCTTCGTCGAACTTTGCTCTCGTTTACATTGTTTTTTTATCGATTGGGTTGTTTTGGGTCATAATAATGATTGTTCGATCACCTCTCCACGAATGGTACGCCAGAGGATCTTAGAAGGAGCACGGAAATAGATGGGACCATGAGAAGGTTTGGTGTTCATACGCTTTCTCAAGAACCTCATGTACTTCATCTTTTTCCTGACGAGACCACCAGACATGCATAATATTTCGCATCTATCGACGACAACCTTTTGACAATTCAACAACTCTTTAGCTAAAATGGAAGCCAGCCTTCCCAGCATGTGGTGTCTTGCATCAACTACCACCCTCTTTGCGTATATCCCTGACCTTGAAACCATCTCTTATCTTCTTTGATAGCTTAGGCCGCCTGCTGCTGTAGTTTAACAAATTTGGAAGATTATGGTTCTCTAATTTCTATAAAATAATAATAATAATAATAATAATCAAATTCACATCAATCAATTAAGAGCTTCACGTGGACTCTAGAAACTCCTAAATCCAAGGCATGGAAATTTACACTTGAAGTCCTTCAATCTTCTAAATTTTCTTGTTCTTGTGGACTTATCATTAAAAAATTATTTCAAACGTCCTAAAAATTTTAAACTCGGATTAGGGTGTGACATTTTAATACTAGTATAAGTTAGTTATTAAACTTACAGAACTTGTGTTACCTAATTCGTAATTAGCTTTGATTCGTGGAATGAGTACAAAATCATAATTTATTATTTTATTGTTTGTTATTCGTTAGGGTAGACTTCTTTAGAAGGGATCTTGGTTCGCTAATAAAGTTTTTAATAAGTTGTTTATATGTTAAACAGTGAAATATAATATTTTTTAATAAATTTTTAGTTATTATAAAGAGAAAATAACTTCAGTGACCGAAAATGCCTTATAGTAACGATTTTAACCAACTTTTTTTGGATTTTCGAAAATGACCAACAAATTCACAACGCGAACTCCAATTTCGCAACATAGGTTCCAAAATCGCAACGATAATATGTAAATCGCAACACAGAAATCAAATTCGCAATGCTAATTACCGATGTAGGTAAACAGTACTATCGCAAATCGATTTTCGTTTTAGAAACGCGATTCTCCAAAATCGCAACGCGAATTTCATTTTCGCAACGCTAATTACCTATATCGTTAATTAGCGTTACGAAATTCGAGTTGCAAATTTGGAGAATTCGCATTGCGATTTACATATTATCGTTGCGATTTACCTATTCGCGTTGCGAATTTGAAAAATCGCAACGCGTATTTCGCAACGCTAATTACCTATATCGATAATTAGCATTGCGAAATTCGAGTTGCAAATTTGGAGAATTCGCGTTGTGATTTACATATTATCGTTGCGGTTTACCTATTCGTGTTTTGAATTACATATTATCGTTGCGATTTAACTATTCGCGTTGCGAATTTGGAAAATCACAACGCAAATTTCATTTTCGCAACGCCAATTACCGACGCTAATTACCTATATCGGTAATTGGCGTTGCACAATATGAGTAGCGAATTTGGAGAATTCGTGTTGCGATTTACATATTATCGTTGCGATTTACCTATTCGCTTTACGAATTTGGAAAATCGCAACGCTAATTACCGATATAGGTAAGTAACGTTGCAAAATTCAAGTTGCGAAAACGAAATTCGCAATGCGATTCTCCAAAATCGCAACGCGAATTTCGTTTTCGCAACGCTAATTACTTATATCGGTAATTAGCGTTGCGAAATTCGAGCTGCGAATTTGGAGAAATTGCGTTGTGATTTACATATTATCGTTGCGATTTACCTATTCGCGTTGCGAATTACATATTATTGTTACGATTTTGACTTTCGCTTTGCGATTTTGACTTTCGCGTTGCGATTTTAGAACCTGTGTTGCGAAATTAGGGTTCGCGTTGCGAATTTGTTGGTCATTTTCGCAAATCCAAAAAAAGTTGGTTAAAATCGTATATTATAAGGGATTTTCGGTCACTGAAGTTATTTTCTCTATTATAAAATTGAAGGACCAAGTTTATAATTAAATCAATTATCTTAAACAATAAAAACACAATGATAAAAATGCTGCTCGATTCACAACGATAAAAAGAGCTATTTGAGTTTCGTCAGATCTCAGTTTTACTTTTCACTTTCTCTTCCCAGACTTCGACTCTTCTTTGTCTTCCTTTCTTTCCCTTTACGCGGATCCATATGCCTTCTTTTCCCTTTACCAAAATGCCTATCAAAAGAATCTGTCAATTCCACCGCCGATGACTGGCAAGATCGACCGTTACACAGTCTTCATTGCCGCCACTTCCACCCATTCTCCTACTGAACTCTTATCCTATTTTTGTTTGCTTTGTTTTTGTTGTGATGAGGTTTTTTTTTTTTTGCTTTTGTTATGATATGTTTCTATTTTCTTTAGTTTGTTGTGATGGGTTTCTGTTTTTTTTTTGGCTTGTTGTGATTATTTTTCCTGTGATAGGTTTTTGGTATGCTAATTCCATCGTTCTGGTACACGAACAACCCATGAATTGGAACAAATGAATTGGAAATAGATTTGTGGGGATGAAGAGCGAATTAGGTAAAACTATACAAAACATTATTTTATTCCCATTAGAATTATTTAACAGTATTAGTTGAAGTGATCTAGGCTCGGTTTGGTGAACAAACAATATAATTAGACATTCCAGTAATGTATTAAGAAATGTTTCTAATCTGTTTCTCGATAAAAATATTACATAATAACGATACTCCACAATTTAAGTATACATCTAAATGACATGGATTAATTTATTTCAGTAGTTAAAGTAATCGTTATTGTTCCCAAAAGTTATGATTTCGAACACAAACGACTGTAATTATAATTGGGTGTTTATTGTCAAATTATTAAGAATACTTAAAACATATATTATTTTATAATAGCCTTAAATTAATAATAAAAAAATATACTTCAAAATAATTCTAATTTTAGAAATCTTAACAACAACAAAAAAATGAAATAACTAAAAATATTCATAAATACATATTGACATTATAATTATAATATGTATCTTAAATTCTTACATTAACTTGTCAGGATGGCCGAGTGGTCTAAGGCGCCAGACTCAAGTTCTGGTCCTCTAACGAGGGCGTGGGTTCAAATCCCACTTCTGACAAAGCTGGTTAGCTTTTTGTTATAATTTAACTAGATCACACATAAAATATTTTCAATTCATTTACTAATTTATATTAGTAAATTTTTTTAGTAAGCTAAGTTGATTATAAAGTTGTTCTAAATACTCTTAACTATTTGACAATAAACGTTCAATCATCGTGCTACAGTCGTTAGTGCTCAAACCCATAAATTATAAGAACAACAATGATTCCTTTAATCATTGAAGTAAATTGATTTGTGCATGTTAGTAATAACTTTACAAGTAATCGTAATAAAAATTAATATTTTATTTATTTTAGTAAAACCATATATAATAGTTGTTTTTTGTCCAAATATAATACTTGATATTTTATATCTACATTATTCATATATCTTTTCATTTTTAATTAAAAACTATTCTATATTTAAGTACACTCAAATGCATAACCCGCATAATGTTGTTCATTTTGACAAATAATAAAGTAATAACTTGAGTGTCATGATTTACTATATTGTTTAAATATTTTTATAGATACTTAACAATGGCGGAACTTGGTGATAAAATTTAGAAGAGTCAACTTAAAATTTTAAAAAGTTTATAAATAATGAAGAGTTTAGTTTACATTTTTTCTAAAAATATTAGAGTTTAACTAAAATTTTAAAATTTTGAGAGATTTAATAAGATTTTTTTTTAATTATGGGAGGGGATTTAGTTAAGAACATTCAAAAGATTTAAAGTTTAATTTGATTTTTAAAAAATCTTGAGAACCAAATTATTTTTTTTTTTTAAATTTGGGGATATGGCCCCCACTAACTCTGCTTATGTTGCGCCACTGATCCTTAGTCCAAATTTATTTCCGTTTAAATTTTATTATGTGTGAGTGTTATTTATAATTACATATTAAAATTGATTCTGATTAGGATGGCAACGGGTCGGGTTTGGGCTGGGTATTGGTCCTCCCGTCTCCGTTTAAAAAACTCGTACCCGTCCTCGCTTAAAAAATCACGGGGATTTAAACGGGGATCCCCATCAGGTAATCAGAGAAAACCACGGGAAATGGGTATCCCCGTTTAGCATAAACGGTTATTTAAACGGGTATCGGGTCGGGTATATATATTTAAATTAAATATATAAATATTATATATATTTTTAATTTAAATTAAATTTATTAATATTATAATATATATATATATATATATAATAATTATTTTTAATATTTATCGGGCCAGGTATCGGGCCGAGTAATCGGGTAATCGGGGTGGAGATTACTAAACCCGTCCCCGTTTAACATAAATGATTTTTTCCCATCTCCGTCACCGTTTAGTATAAACGATTTTTCCCTATCTCCGTTTAATTCGATTTTAGGTTTTCCCCGTCGGATACGGATTTTTTTACCATCCCTGATTACAATGATATGTAGAGATAATTAAAATATTTAAATTCAATGAATTTTAATTTGATCTGGTTTAATAGGTAAGCTTTTTTCACAATGCATATTAACATTCATGTATGCATGCTTAGTGGAGGTGTCATTTGCTTGCTATTTCCAATTTTAGTACAAATTTACTACAAACTAGTGATTTAATTTCGTTTAGTGCACATCTAGTAGGTAATTAAAACTGTAATAACAAATACTAAAATATACATTATAATCACTCTTTCATGACCAATGACTCCATGAGGACCTCAATTTGACATTTATATATCGGGTAAATTACGTATTAAGTTAGTAACACGTTTTCGCGGTTTCGTTTCGATCATTCGACTATTGTTTTTTTTAAGTCATACAAAATGTTATATTTTAGTTTTTTTCTGGTCATTCACTGTTAAAAATAAAAAGAATTGTTGGCGTATCACCATAATGTAGTGCCACGACATCATTGAATTTTTTTTTATAACAACAGTAATCATTTTTATTTTTTAACGGTTGGTGATTAAGATAGAATTAAAACGTAACTTTACGTATGATTTGAAAAATTACTCATTACCCAAAACGAAACCGTATGAATAAGTAGGTGACTGAATACATTGTTTATCCTTATCTAGTTTGGTTGAGAAAATCGACCAATTCGAGTTCTAATGATTAATATTTCAATTTATCTAGACAGAAAAAGGATACCAATAAACAATAGAGAAGTCGGATTATAAAAGTTTTAATTAATAAAATAATTTATTTATTTAATAAAAGTCGGATTAATTGTCTTATGGAACTCTAAAAT